TGGAAACAGAAGGAAAAGACTAGAGGTATCATCCTGGGAGTCATTTGCACACAAACAGCAAAATGAAGTTGGGGATTGTAGTCTAAACAGCCTTAAGACCTAGAGCAGAGAGAGGAGATGAAGTTCAAGTACAACCTGAAACAAGGAAGCACGGTCTTTGTAGACTTAGTACGAGGGTCACACAAGTTCATTCATGCAAACTGATTGTAATTTTGTAAGTGCTTACCATTTAGGCCAGGCTTTTTTTAAATCTCAGCACTCAGAAGACAGAGGCAGATGGATCCCTGTGAGTTGGAGGCCAGTCTGGTCTACATAGTGAGTTTCAGGCCAGCCAAGGCTACATAGAGAGACCCTGTCTGAAAACAAGGCATAGTACACAGTTTGAAGAGACTATCAGAACCAGAGTTAGATGGCAGCACTGTTAAAATTATCAGACCAGGAATTAAGAACAAAAACCAAACCCAACTGTGGGTTATGTGCTAAAGACTTCAATAGAAAAAGGTATATAAAAATAGATGACTAATACACATAGGGAGATGGGACTTACACACACACACACACACACACACACACACACACACACAAAATTTGAGATTCAAAACACAAGACAATTGGACAATCGCCAGGTACCATGCCACACTCAGGTGTGATGGTGCACTCTTGTGGTCCTGTAACTCAGGAGGTGAACACAGGAAACAAAGCCAATTAGTTCAAGACTGACTTAAACTACATGTTACTCTGCCTCACAGAGCAAGCAAGCAAGCAAAACCCAAAGCAAAATAACAAAGCCACACAATGACAGAATAAAGAATGTTTTTGCTGAGAGAAACTTCCAGATACATCAGAGAGCTTGCTTTTCATGCCATCCCATGTGTAGACAAGATAGGACATAAAGTACACTATTAACTGGCAGCTGCCTATGGAAGAGACCTCAGAAGAGAACATGTCTTTTTGACGACTTGATTTTTCATTTTCTAGTATCCAGAACTCTGAGAAATATATTGCTCTCCTGGAAGCCACCTGGCCTAATTTTGTCATGCTAGATCAAACTGACTAGGATCAATAAGCCACACTATCCAATGATGGCATATTCTACATAATTCCCAAGCTTGCATAGAACATTCATCAATAGTGGCAGACTCTGCAGGAGGAGACACACCTTAACAAATTTAAAAGACTGGAAACCATATAATGTTTGCTCTTAATAATGAAATTATACTAGAAACTAATAACAAAACAATAGCAAGAAAATCCACAAAGTGACTGGAGATCAAACAGTATAATTCTGAGTAACATGAGTCAAAGAAGTGATTTCAAGAGAATTCCTCCCAAATTAAATATTGAGACCTAAGTCTAAAAATTATAACATCCCTTGTTACTTATTTAAGTGAACTGACAGTGTCTGTCCATACAAAAACAAAAACAAAAACAAACCAAACTATCTCAGTGTTTATAGCAGCTTCATTCATAATTGCCGAAACCTGGAACAACCCAGAGGTTCTTCAGTGGGAAAATAGATAAACTAGGGTGTATACCCAAATAACAAATGTATTCAGCTCTGAAAAGAAACCAGTGTTCCAGCTGTACAAAGGCATGGTGGATGTTTAAATGTACCTCACTAGGTGAAAGATGGTGACCTGAAAAGGTTATGTGGTATATGCCTCCAACTCCATGACATGCTGGAAAGAGCAAAACTTTGGAGCCTGTAAAAAGATCAGTGGTTGCTTCAGGGAGAGATGGGCACATGGAACACAGGGATTTTAAGGCAGTGAAACTATTCTTTGTGATATCACAATGGTGAATTAGTGGCATTTTATACTTGTCAAAATCTACAGAATGTGTTACACTAAGAATGAAGCCTGCTGGGTGGTGGTGGCACACACCTTTAATACTAGCACTCGGGAGGCAGAGGCAGGAGGATCTCTGTGAGTTCCAGGTCAGCCTGCTCTACAGAGTGAGTTCCAGGGCAGCCAGGGATACACACAGAAACTATCTGGAAAGAACACCCACCCTGCGCCCCCCCCCACCCCGCACTCAAAAGAAAGAAGCCTGATGGCCCTGGAAGCTCTCTGTGCATTCTTGGCTAAAAACACTTAGGCTAAAAGTCCCAGGCTCTCTCTGACACATGGAAAATGCCATGGCTACACCATGACTACAGATACATGGCTACACCATCACATGGCACATTTCCCTGAATTCTAGTCTGTTTAGCTTCCTGGCAAGCCAGAACACAGAGCAGCTGATGTTACTTTTATCACACATTAGAGATGAAGAACACAAAGCCCAGAGGAATCAGACAACATTCACACTGTGAGTGCTGAAGCTGAGACTCTAGCAGGTCTCCTGGCTGCAGAGTCTGGTTCCTCCCTGTGGGTCGGGCTATCCCCCAGATACATCAACAGAACCATCTTGTCTATGGGATACAGAATTCTTTCTATGTGACCCCAAACCCCTCTGCCAATCTCTGATCTAGAATAGGAGGGGACAGTATTGGGGACAAGTATACTTACTCTATCAGCTAGCAAACTAAGGAAGAAAAGCATTTACCCCGGAAACCCCATACATCAACAGAACCATCTTGTCTATGGGATACAGAATTCTTTCTATGTGACCCCAAACCCCTCTGCCAATCTCTGATCTAGAATAGGGGGGGGGACAGTATTGGGGACAAGTATACTTACTCTATCAGCTAGCAAACTAAGGAAGAAAAGCATTTGGGCACCGTGACTCAGTGTGGCCACACCAGGAGCAGAATCTGGGCTCTGTTTCTGGTCTAGAATGCAACCCTGACAGGGAATTCTCTTCCCGCTGCCTGCTCCAAGCATCCCCTATCATGCCAACGTCTGGGCTTGCATCTTACTTGTGTTCTGTAGCTGCCAGCGTCCCACTTCAGTGCTGTGGCATTGAGTGAGGCCTGTGTGCCCTGAGTCTCCGCTGCCCTAATTTCCAAGCTAAGACCTAGATAGTGTATCTAAATTTTCCTCGGGCCAATTTCTGCCCCAGATTCAACCTGTGTTGGCTAAGTCTCCTCTCCCCACCCAGGGCTGTGTCTCCCACTCCATCCCATGCTGGGCCTCCCAAATCACCTGTCCTTAAAGTTTCTGACAGCATCCCAAAGTCTCACTCCAAATGCACATATCTAGATGAGAATGTGCAGACCTTAGGGCTCCAACTCTGGGGGAAGAGAAGCACAGCACTATGGTGAGGCCAATTCAGAGTCCTAATCCCTATCTGCCCTTCCTGGGCACCAGGCACACATGTAGTACATAGACATGCATGCAAGCAAAAACGCCCTTACACATAAAATACCTTCTTTTTAAGACAGGGTTTCTCTGTATAGCGTTGAAGCCTGTCCTGACACTCACTCTGTAGACTGGCTGGCTTCGAACTCACAGAGATCCGCCTGCCTCTGCCTCCTGGGTGCTGGGGTAAAAGTCATGTTTCACCACCATCCACCTAAACACTAAATCTCACTTTCAACTCATACTTCCAAATTAAAATCTTGAACCTTGTTTTTCTTTTATTTGTAATTAACTAAAAGACTCTAAAGTCTATTTGGAAGAATAAATGGGCACAGAAGGTGCAATTTTGGAAGAAAGATGAAAGTAGATTGCCCTAGTGGTTTGAAATTAAGCCATGATGTAGAGTTGCAAGAATCAAGTCGGCTCAGTCTTGATTCTTTCCACCGTTAGCAGGCTCTCATCTTATGCTGGGTGCTGTGACAGGACTTGGAGGGTCTGGGTCCGAAGGGCACTTGTGTTTCTTGACTTTAGGGCATGTTTTGAGAGTCCCATGGGGAGAGGTGGGTAGGCAAGGTGCTGAATTCCTGAGCTGAGTCACAGTCAGACACTGAGCTACAGCTGATGGCCTCAGCTCTGTGGCTGGCCTGACAGAGGACAATGAAAAGAGACAAGGCCAAAGGAAGTGGATTGGGCCATTTCCCTCTACGTAGGCTTCTCTGGGCACCACTCATCAATGCCAGGCCTTACCCATGCTGGAGTGGCCCATAATTAATAGTTACATGAGCAGAATGCTAAGAAAAACTCACTCAGCACACACTGTACACACAGTGTATCAAATGCTTTTGATGCAACATCTTGCATAATCTTTATAAGATCCCCAAAAGGTGGGTTTTATTATTTTCCTCAGGTTTTTGGAAGAAAATATCGATATTCAGAGAGGTTAAATAACTTTTCAGGGACCATCCAGTTAGAAGGGCTAAGGTCAAATACAACCACAGCTCCAGGTTTCCCTCTGCTTACCACACACCCTAGCCTTCAGGTGTGGGAATGGAGCAGGCTACAATGGCCCAAATGAGACAAGAATCCTCTAGGTCTTTGGGCTACTTTAAGCCTGTGTCAAGCCTCCACGGATCTCACATTTTCCATGCCAACAGAATGAAGGGATCGAGGAGATTCTCAAACCCCATCACTCTTATGGACCAGAAGCCCCCCACCCCATAACTGAGACCATTACAACCTCCCGTGGACACCATCAAGCCATTTATGAAATGCTTAGACGGCTTTGTCTCTAAGACCCTCTCACTCATTCTTTTCCCGAAAGTTCACAGGAGAATTATGCTTCCCACCAGGATGCTACAGCAAGGTGAAGACAATGTCACCTGCTGGCCTTTCTGCTCCATCCCATCTGAGGTCTCTCAGGCCAGTCTCTGCATGCCTAGCACCCCACCACCACCAGCACCATCCCCAAATGCAGTGGTTCTCAACCTCTCTAATGCTGAGGCCCTTTATTACATACAGTTCCTCATGTGGTAACCCCCAACCATAAAATTATTTCCATTGTGATGCCATAACTGTAATCTTACTACAGTTATAAATCACATTGTAAATACCTGTGTTTTCTGGTCTTAGGCGACCCCTGTAAAAGGATTGTTCAACTCCTCCCCAAAGGGGTCGTGGCCCACAGGTTTAGAAACACTGCCCTCATGCCAGCCATGAGGGGGAGTTGAGTCTTTCTGCACAGCCACACTATGTGCTTACCTCTCTCTGCTCCCTCTGCAGGCATAGTTCTTCTGTCTCCTCCATCAGCTTGTCTGCCAAAGCAAGCGCACTCTCACTGTAAACAGCTCAGGGGTCCTGCAGGTAGGAGCCCCAGGTGGCCTCTGCCAACTATGCCATCTCCCAGGGAAGAGGTCTGTACTCCTAGCCAGGCACGGGGTCCTGCCCTGCTGAATGGAAGCTGTCTCACTGGCCCAAGAGGCCTTTCAGGTCATCTTCCCTGTTTTGTGCATCCATAGATCCACAGAGGACCTGCATGGAGACCGAGGAGGGTCTTTGCAGCCTGTGGTCTCTGCAGTCTCCGCCTGTGGTCACTAGTGCCTGGTTAGTTAGTAGGAGAGGGCATATTCCAGGTAAGGAGGGGCCGTGCTTAGAGCAGGTGGAGAGGAACCTCAGATGTCTCAGCTGGCTCCCAGGAAGAGGATCAACCTATTCTCATTATCCCTCCCAACTGGGGAGGGGCATTTAGCAGACAATTAGAGCATGAGGTCTGGACCCTTGTGGCTAGGTTTACAGTGGGTCTGGTGAGGAGATGGAGCGAATGGCACAGGACCGGGGCTCAGGCAGGATAATATTTTTTCCACTTTTGGATCCTTCAACTGAAAGCCTGACATGTACACACACCCAAGGGTTTTCCCTTTAAGCTGATCCCACACCACCTTTTACACCAGGGACCATTTCAGTCTCTGCTTTAAGGAGGGGGTAATTGAGGCATATAGAGACTGAGTGGCCTACAGATCCACACAACAGATAGGCAGGTGACGGGGCTGGATCTAAAGCCAAGCTCCTGGTCACTAGTCTCTCCTGCCTCTAGCTCCCTGGTCAAAAGGACTTTATCACACTGCGAAGTACTCTAGGTGCCAAGCTCCATTTCACATCTTCCTGAACCACTCCCACCACGTCCCTCTCTATCACTCAGGTCCCCAAGTACTGCCATCAGGAAACTTCAGGTTCCAGTTCACTCCTGTAACCAACCTAAATATTCCTGCTTTTCCTTTGCCAGCTGTAGCCCCTGTGCCTCCAGGCTTTTGATCATAGCTTCTCCTAGTTGGGCATTTTTCCAGGTCCTGGGGAGGGAAGACAGATGGGAGAGAGGGGAGGAGAGGAGAAATACAAACAGTTAAACCAGGAGGAAGGCCTGGGGAGAAGGAGATTGTCCATGCTCTGTGCTAGCCTCTCCTCCGCCCTGCAGAATCTCAGCTCAGTCTGGCACCCAGGGCTCCGGGCACACCACCAGCATTGATCGGTTACAGTAACTGGAGGCTGAGGTTGCAAAGTGGGCCACAGGGACAGAGCCAAGAATGCTCAGAGAAGAGGGAAGGGATTGCTTCCCTTGCAGCCTTCTACAACACTGCATGCCCACCACCTGGTTCAAGGCTAGGCACATGGTGTTATTGGTTGAGTTAAAAGCCTGGACTGGCTTGAATGGGCACAGGCTGTGTTGGTCAGGTGGTTTCTGTGATTTGTAAACAGTATCTCTGGTCCTTCCTTGCTAGGGTTACTTACCGGTCTGGGAAGGCAAGATACACGCACTGAGGTGCTGAACATGAGGAGCAATGATTGACTAACTCCAAGGAATTGGAGGCTAATGATGTCCACATCTGCCACCTGTCGTTGCAGACACCTTTTCAAAGTCACCACTTAGGGGACCCTCACAGATGCTCTACATTCAGCCTGAGCTGTTTCTGTCCACACACCCTAACCAGCTCCCACAGCCCTGTCTCAGGACCTAGCAGAGAGGCAAGTGGGCAGGGCCAGCCTAGCCCATCCGCTCGCATTCTGGGCCCCTCGGAGGCCCTGATGGCAGACACTTACACCTTCCCAGACTCCTGCAGCATCTCGAGCCATTGTGTCTGCTCAAACTCAGACTCAGCAGCCAACAAGACATTTCCCTGCCGGGAAGAGGAGCCAGAGTGAGAGCAATCCACTCCAAAGGAGAGGGAGGTGAGATCTCCTCTCCCCCACCCCCAACAGGCCTGGGCCCTGACAGCCCTTTCAGGCTAGACTACACAGGGCTGTTCCCAGGGGGGACTAGCTGAAGCTGCTTTGTCCTGTGAACCCTGGGCTAGGGGAGGGTCCCCACTCACATGGAAATCCTGGTGTGAGATCTTCATGGCATAGGGCATGCTGGGCTCTTCTCTGGCCTCCACCAGGCAGCCGCCCAGTGGGATGACACCCTGTGGAAGAAGCAGAGCAGGCGACTCCCACCCCACCCAGCTCAGACCACTTAAGAGTCCCAGGAGGCTCCTGGAGAAAGTCAAGGGCTTTGTCAAGGACCTCAGGCTGGACCACATCCCAGGGTTATAACACCAAGGCTAGGACTGATTCCCAGAAAGAAAAAGAGCTAGGGTGGGCTCTGCGACTCAAGGTGTGTGTGTGTGTGTGTGTGTGTGTGTGTGTGTGTGTGTGTAAGGGGAACCCAGTGCAGAGGCTGGACAGGTTTCTTGAGCCCTGAGAGGATTTGTCCTCCACATTCTAAACCAAATCAAGACAACAGATAGTTTCCTACCATCCCCAAATGTCCCCAGTAGGGCCTCCCTTGCTGTGGCCCTGGACAGCAGTTTCCTTACCTTAGGATGTATATTGAAGTATTTATTGGTTTCAAAGCTCTTTTTTTCACTTTCAGAGTAGTAAAGAAGAAAGCTTTCTTTGATGATAAAAAACCTATGGGAGAGGCATGAAAAAATGGTGAGATCTTGTGAGTCAAGACAACCCTTGGGGACCCTGAACTCACATGGGTGCCCGTGGGGACCCTAGTTCACACTGCACACACCGCACATTGCACCAAGTGGCCTCAGATGGCCTTCTGTACGGGCACTGAAGGAGGGAGGTCCATGACTGGCCTCCAGGACTGCCCTCTTCAGCACAGTAGAAACCTGTTGTCCTTTACCCTTTGAACTATCTAGTACTCCAGTCAGGTGGAGCGCCTGTCCAGGTGTGGATGGAGGATGAGACACGAGTCTAGACCGCAGTTTCAGTGTAACCCAATGGAATTGGGTATCAGCTGTGGAGGTCTGCTGTCCTGATACCCCAAGGTGATACCTGCATTCTCTTTTGTCTGTCTCAGACTGGGATTCAAGTCTAACTTGGGATCAAAGTGGCCATGGTACTTTCTGTGAGGCAAATCCTCAATGCCAACAGGTAGACTCCTTGACCCGCCTTGGGGACCCATACAGAATGATCAATGGAAGCTTTAGGAAGTCAAGTGTGCTCCGGGAGGGGTGCTACACGGGGGTGTTCCAGGGAGTGCTCCAGGGGGAGACCCAATTAGGCCTCAAAGCTCCCAAGGCTCAAAAGTACCAGAGTTCTCCCTCCTCGGGGACAAATGCTCTGATGTGACCTGAAAAGGATCTGGTGGGATCCCAAGTTTTAGGGCGTGTGTGTGTGTGTGTGTGTGTGTGTGTGTGTGTGTGTGTGCCTGTGCACATGTATGTGTGTGTGCCTGTGAACATGTATGTGTGTATGCCTGTGAACATGTATATGTGTGAGTGTGCTTGTGCACATGTATGTATGTGTGTGTGTTTGTGCTTGTGCACATGTGTGTGTGTGCACAAGTGCGTGCTTGGGTACATACATGTATGTGTGTGTGTGTCTGAGTGTGCACACAGGGAAAAGTTCAGAGCATCGACATATTGGAACCTGCTAGGATAGACTCACAATGGCTAACAGTGTGACTCTCTTAACTGTTTAACATGCAGTGAAACAACACTGGTGACAATCTAAACCACGCAGGAGTATTTGTACTATGAAAACCAAGTACCGCAGAATCACCCCAAGACCTGTTGTTAAACTGTTCACTTCTGATGAGTAGCTTGAGAAGACGCTAGTGGCATCAAGAATTCAGAGGACCCCTGCAGGTTCTACCACCCACATGATCGTCCCTGCAACTATAGTGGCCTTGGGGCAGAGTGGAGGGGCAGCCTGAACGGCTGCAGCAGTCCCTTTCCGAGGGAACTAAAGCTCAACACTTTGTACTTTGGTGTGAGTTCATGATTTTGTGCCTCCCACTTTTGAGATGGAGGTCTTGCTATGTTGCCCAGGCTGGTCTTGAACTCATAGACTTGAGCAGTCTCCCCCATCTCAATTTCCTGAGCAGCTGAGACTGCAGAGCAGTCTGGCTTCAGCTCATTTTCTGTACTGTACCAACCCTCTTCCATCCACAGAACAATTGCAGCCCTGGTGGACACTGTGTTTGGATCCCTGCACTTGGCACTGCGTACCCACAGCCACACCGGTGTGCTTCTTTATCCAGGGAGGGCCACTGGGCTCCTGGAGGATGGAACCATGTCATATCAGTCTCGTGGGAAAGGCAGGTGCCCCCTGACTGTTCCAAAAGAATGTCACAGTGAAGGTAAGAGCTTAGACCTCCCATTTTCCAGCTTGGGGATGGGGAGTTTGAGTAAAGACACTCAGCTCCCTGAGCCTTAGTCTCCATAGACCAGAAGTGATGGCACCTACATTACGGGATGGATGTGGGGACTGAATGAGACTGTAGTCATGTGTGAAGGACCCAGGATGGGGTGGAATGATGTATGACCTGATGAGGTCCCTCTGCGGGAAATGCAGGCAGGCAGAACAGAGCTGTCTCACCACCACCATGATGGCACCCCCACAATAGTGCCTCATGAGCCCCTTAATATGTTCAATCCCTCTTCTGAAGAGTGACTGTATCTGGACACAGGATTTTTAGGAGGGGACTATGGTCCAGTGAGCTAATAATTAGGCAGGGCCATGATCTAATGGAGCTGTGGCTTTATCAAACAGGAACCTGGGCTGGAGGTGTAGTTAATGGTAGAGTGTTTGCCCAGCATACACAGAGCAATCTCTAGTACCACATAAACTAGCATTGTGGAACACACCTCTAACCCCAAATATTCGGGAAGTAGAAACAAGAGAATAAGGAGTTCAAAGTCATCCTCAGCTACGTAGTCAGTTCAAAGCCAGTCTTGGCCACAAGAGGCTCACCAGTGGCACATGCCTCAAATCCCAGCACATGAGATGCTGAGATAGAAGGACTACAAGTCTAAGGCCAGCCTGAGCTGCATGGAGGGCCCCTATGTCAAGAAGAATCAGAGAAGGCAATCTGTAAAGAAAGAGCAGGTACCTCAGACACAGGGCTCACGGGTACCAAGGTCCTGGGTTAGAATGTACTTGGTTCTAAAAGGACCCAAAAGGCGGAAGCAGGGGAAGCAAGACTACAATTTCTGTATCTAGACTACAAAGGCCCTCTGGCTACTGTGATAGCAATAAAGGCAGCACTTAATTCACTGAGCCCTTACCCCCCCCCCAACCCACCCCTGGCTCCACAGGGTTTCTTCTGTTAATACATTTAACACGCACAGTTGCCCATCCAGGCAGGTGCCCCTGTACTTCCTATGTGCAGAAATGGAGGAGAGAGGTGACATGAGGACTTGAAACTACCTGGTAGAGACTGGCTTTCTCTCAGAGTAAAATGGCTGTGGCAGGTCTTTGAGCAGGAGTGACAAGACCTGACTTACATTGTCAAAGGCTAGCCCTGGCTGCTGCATGGGAAACAGATTGCCCTGGCATAAGCAGGGCACCTGCTAAAAAGCTATCACCACACATCACTGGAGGCAAGAGGTATGTAGAATGGATAGAGACATGTAGAATTTCCAGGATCTTCCCAATACACAGGGTGTCCCCAGATGTCACCCCCCTCCTAAGGCAAGCACAGAAAAGTGGAGGAGATGCTCCAGGCAGCCTTTGCTCCATGGTGGCCATACTTCAGCAGCAGGACTGCCACATGAGCAATACCTGGCACAGACCTGGAGGCAGAGGGGAAGCTCCAACACACAATGGCTCATTTAACCAGACCCAAAAGATCTTTGCTTATCCTACTGCCTTGGTGGTGGCCACTCTGATGTCCTTTAGCTTCTACTCAGTAGCTGGCACCCTTACAAGTCTACGCAAGCTGCATAGAGAGGCATTCATCTTCTCATGCCTTCTTCAAAGTTGCCCTGATCTAGACACCCTCATTCAGTATGCAAGGCTGGGACAACCTCCTTTGGGCCCTGTAGAGCTGCAAGCCAGTGTAAGGGCTGGTCACAGTCACCATGTCTACGTATTAGCTTCTGTGAGGCAAGCTATGTGAGGACCAGAGGACTCTCAGAACAATGCTGGAGGCAGGCGGGGCCTTTCACTCCCATTTCACAGGTAAGAAAAGAAGGGCTTAGATGTGATGTAAACTACAAAGTCCTACAACTGCAGAAGGAAGATTGGAACCCAGGACCACCAGGTCCTGCTCCTGCCTCCTATATGGCTCATGGAGCTGCTGTCCTGGCTCAGGACACACACCCAGGATAGAGAGGTAGGAAGCCAAGTTGCAGTTGCCAAGGTGGTAGATCCACCAGTTACTAGCAGTAGTGGGCGAGGCACTCATCTTCTTAGGCCTCGGGTCCCGTGTGGAACTTGAGGATGATAATTAAAGGCTATTTCTCTTGCCTGGAGGGAAATGAGTCTGATCACATAAGGACTTAGCTCATAGTAAACACACAGGAAGAGTTCACTGTTATTCTGATTACTGCTACGCCTTATCCTTGAGTTCAGTGTCTCTGCAGCCACCCTGCCCCTCTTCCCATTTGTGCTCACACAGCAGCTTCTGAAGAGAACATGGCGGCAGTCCAGCTGGCTGGCTTCTTGCTCTCTGCTCTCCAAACACATGTCACAGCCCCATCCTCCTCCTGTCTGAAGCTTCCCCCATCTCCAGGGCCAGCATCTGTCCTTGGAGAAGCTTTACTGTCAGCTTTTGCTTTTAGCCCTCCTGGGTTACGGGAAGCCTGGAGTCTGTGCATGATAAAGTTTTCATGTCCTGGCTGCCTCCCCTCTCTGAATTATTATTATTATTATTATTATTATGTCTCAGGTGGTCAGGCTGGCCTCAAACTCACTATAGAGCTGATGCTGACCTTGAACCTCTGATTGAAGGGACCAGCTCCCCATTTCGGCTGCCCTATAAGATCTCTATGTAGACACTTCGCAGTGTCTTTGCTAGCCATCCGCCATGGCGGGTGGGCGAAAGACCCGAGCTAACATGGGGTTAGCTCGTTAAAAAAAAATAAAGCCTCATGCAGTTTGCATCAAGCTCTCAAATCTGCCTGGTGATTGGGGTGACCTCGGTCCTGGGCTGGGACCCCGGAGGCCTGAGTTTTCCGGGGTCTAACATGATCTTTCTGCCTCCATCTCCCGAGTGCTGTGATTATAGGCATGGGTCACCATGCCTGGTTTATGGAGATCTGAGAACTCAACACAGAGCTTCATGCATGCTAGACAAGCAGTCTACCAAGTGAGCCATATCCTCAGCCCCCACTCTGCTATTTCCATCTCCAGATGGAAGAATTTAGAAGTCAGCAAGTTATGCCCTTTACTACCCAAACTTTACTGACATTATCTTATTTAAATGTCTCTAAGTGATGGGCGGGATTTTTGTTTCCTAGTACACTGGTGAGAAAACTGAAGCACAGTGAGATTAAACAACTGGAAAGTGGTTAACTCGGAGCTCTGCTGACAAAGCTCAAGTTTCCGGCTGCCTGTGCTCTGTGCTGCCAGTACTCCTCGCCACTATTAGCAGCAGTTTGACTCCCGTGAGCCAATCACTGTAAAATGGCTGCAGGGCCCACTTGGCTCAGGTCAGAGACCTGTTACAGAGCCAACTACTTCGCCTAAGCAGGTACCATGCTGGGCCCTGGCAGCTTGATGAGTCCCTGCCCCCAAAGAGCTCAAGAGCTGAATGCAGGAGAGAGCGTGTGGAAAGAAAGAATTGTAAAATAGCTGCTGTTTATCAAGCTCCTTCTTTGTACCAGGCCCTGTTTGAGCAACGGCCGTTTGTGTAGTAATTCATTCACTGCTTAGTCAAGGTAGGCGACGAAACTGGAATGCAGGGAAATTAAACAATACGTCCCAGATCACACAGTGGGTAATCGGGGAAGCTAAAAATAGAAAGCACAAGGATATGGGGTGACGATGTCAGGCCACGGAGGTACACAGCAACATGGAAGGCACCAGGAGGATGCTGTGACCCTGGGAAACACCAGGACACATTCCTGTGACATTATAGCATGACAGAGTGCATTGCAGTGTTACACGGCGCCTGGAGGAATACACAGAGACTACAAAGCACCAGACACAGAGCAACAAGGGAAATTTGTGTAAAAAGCAGAAGCGTGCCCCCCCAGGGGATGAATGGGTTAGGGTCTGACCAAGGTCTGAGAGGAGGTCATAACGGATCAGGGTTTTAAAGAATAAGAAATGTCTTAAGAAGTTGGAGGAGGTGGAAGAGGAAGCAATGTTCTCCTGACAGAGAAGGGCATATGTAGAGAATGGTGTACTCAAGGTCCTCAAAATATGTCTGCTATATGCAGATAAGTGCTAAAGGAGTGGCCAGGGTTTAGGGGGAATGGAAGGAGAGAGGGCAGGTCTGTAAACAGGGGCTGAGAGCAGGCAGTGCCCCCGCCCCCCACCTTGCACAGATATCAAACCAGTGCTGGGAGGTCAATTTGTGGATTTAGAATTAAGAGAGGTGGCCCTGAGGAGGTCACTCACATCTGGGCAAAGGGATGAACCAGAGTTATTAGAACGTAAAAATCAGCAGAGCAAGCTGAATAGTTAGACAGGAGCATGACCTAAGTCCCATGACACCATGGCCAGGGTTTTTAGCCTGAGTGACAGGATGACACACAGGTGTCATCTAACATGAAGGATTTTCATAGTGTGGCTTCCCTTCCCTCTACCCTGTGCTCTGAGTATAGTAAGGGCCCAGCCAGAGCTCAGTGGTTAACACTGAGATCCAACAGAGGCGGAAAGAAATGTTCAGAGCACACATGCAGTGTATATCAGACAGGCCTTGTTAAAGAACGATCAGCCTGGGGCTGGAAAGGTGGCTCAGTGATTAAAGGTACTGGCTACTTTTCTAGAGGACCTACATGTCAGCTCTCGGCCATATGTAACTCCAGAAAGGCTCTCAGCAGCAGCCATGAATCTGGGCCAACAGAGTGGCATTGTATGCACACACATACAAACAGGCATGCACATATAGATGCAAGTTTAAAAAAATAAACAAAACCTAAAACCAACACACAAAGACTGAAAAAGAAAACAAACAAACCAATGTTAAAATAGGTTTCAGAAAACAAGAGGAAAGAGCCCATCTGAAGGCGCTTGCCCTTCTGTGATGTCCCTCAGCTTCCGTGTTGTCACACTTCTCTTTAAGTGTAGTTTGCTCTGCCCACAGACCATGTGTGAGAGATTAGAGGTGTGTGGCAGTGGAGATGACTACGTTGGGAGTGGGGAGACTGAGGAACCAGCCAAGTTCCACCCAAAGTATTCAACACGTGATGGCAGGACGTCTGGGTTCAACACCTCCTGGTGATTGGCAGAGACAAGATGCAGGATTTAGACTTCTGTGAGATTTTGATCTTGGGGCCAAAGTTATCTCACTCTCAAGTGGGCAGCAGGAACCTGCCCAAGGTATGTTTTCCCAGCAAGGACAGGGTGAGCTGAGTCCTGGAGGCACGGTGGTGGCCTCAGAAGGGCATCCCAGGTAGCCTTTGCTGACCCTGGCTGAAGCCAAGACCCTTCTCTCCTCCCCTTCAGAGCACTCAGATTTTTGCATCTGCATTCACGCTACCCCCAGAGAAAGGAGATGGCTGTGCCCTCTAGAGCCCTCTTGAAATTCTCTTTTCTCTGTTAAGGAACACTGTGATTGCCTTCCCTTCTTTTGCCCAGAGGAAAGCAAATTAACAATGAGGACATCTTCCCACCACTGTTTGGGCAAGGTGGGGTAGAGGTGGTGGTAGGGTACCGGAGGCTCCCCCGAAGACAGACCCTAAGGAGGAGAAGTTTTATAGAAGGCAGCCAGCCACAGCCAGCCACAGCCAGCCACAGCCAGCCACAGCCAGCTCCATCCAGGCTGGTGGTTATTTGTGCAGCATGGAGCCTCTCCAGACCTCTTTCCCTCAGCTGCCCAGTACAGACAGCATTGATTTTCCTAATAGCGAGCCTCCGCAGTAGTGGGTGTTGGCTGCCCTGTCCCAAGCCTTCCTGTGGTCACTAATTAGCTGAGGTCCAGAGACTGCACTTCACAAATGGAAACTGGAGCCTAGAGGCCTTGTTGGGAAGCAAGAGGAGGCTGGTCTGGGCATCAGGCCTGCTTCTATACTCTGACTTTCTGACTGGCTGTTGCTGACTCAAGGGAAAATCATGTGTGTTGGGGGTGGAGGATGGGGAACAACTCTCCCAGAGGTGGGAACATGAACAAAGTCTAGAGCTGGCAGGTAAGATGGTAGCTGTTTTCTGAGACCCAGAGGAGGGGGAGTCTTTGCATAGTGACAGCTCCTGAGTGAGGAAGGTGAAGGAGGTGACAGTCTCTTTCAAAGGGTTGGGAACTGGACTTGGCACTGGGACTTATTGTTTTGACTTAGACTGGTTTGTTTTGGGTGTCTGTGGGGACTGTTGACAGAGATTCTCAGGGCCAAATGTTCTGGCCTCTACAACATTGCTTTTAGCTAAGAGGTTTTCTCCTGGCACTTATCAGCCCCAAATCAGCTGCAGTAGCCAGGTCTCCCTGTACCTACAGAGGAAAAGGGACCCAGGAGACTCAGGCTAGGGGGTCCAAGGCACGTACCACATAATGAATGCAACTGGGTGAAAATGCCTGGCAGGAAAAGTCTTTTTTGTTGTTGTTTGTTTTTGTTTTTTAAGACAGGGTTTCTCTGTAGCTTTGGAACCTGTCGTGGAACTCACTCAGTAGACCAGGCTGGCATCTAATTTACAGAGACCTGCTTGCCTCTGCCTCCCAAGCGCTGGACTTAAAAGAGTGTGCCGCCACCGTCCAGCTCAGGAAAAGTCTTAAATGAGAACAAAAAGTCAGACATGATGAAGAGAGAAGGTTGCCTGGGGTAGCTGGACATTGTGCACGATAGCTGTGGCACAATAGTTCACAAGAGCTCCTCTCCCCACTCCTCCTTCCCCCACTCCCCATACTCACTCAAGTGCTGTGGCAGAGAGTGGATGCTCCTGGCCCTCAGTGGCTGCAGTTCAGACAGTGCAGCCCTTCACACTGCTCCAAGCCTTCACTTAAAGTATCAGAGAGTAACTCAACTTGGGAGGGACTCAAGGGGGCCTATATCCCGTTAAATCCCCTAGAGAAACCAGCCAGAAGTAATAAAAGTGTATGAAGCCATCTGCAAAACGTGAAATCCCATCCACACCTCCATTTGTTCTGAGGTCTTACAGGAATATTAAATTATTCATCAAAATCGAATATAGGAACTAACCATACCACATGCACATGATCTGTGGTCGGAGGCACTCAGACTCATGCTGTGGGATGGAGAAGGGGCTGTGGTCCCAGGAATGGTCACACCCTCCAGGGAGGGGCCCGGACAAAGTCTGAGTCTTTTAGACACCAGCAGTAGATCATAGTTGACTTGAGGATGAACGAGGTGCAGAAAATGGTCCTTTGCCTTTGCGGCCAGCTTTAGGAGGCTTCTGCAAGTCCACATCTGATTCCCCTTCTCCCAATACGTGTCAGGGCCATTTGTATATAAAAAGCCCAGGTTTATCTGGGGTCTTCATTTGGAGTTGGTGCTGAGAATGGGGCCAAGGTTGCTCTGGCTCTCTCCAACACCTGTCCTTTGGATAGGACCAATCTACCCTTTTCCCCACTCCAACTTCAGGGGTATACACACACACACACACACACACACACACACACAAACACACACACACACCACACACACACACGCACAAATATAGGCATATGTATATATGTATATATAGGCATATGTATATATGTATATATGTATATGTAGGCGTATGTATGTATGTATGTATGTATGTATGTATGTATGTATGTATCAATGTATGTATCAAGGCACAGCTGGAAGAGTTACCAACACAACTTCTTACAGAAGGTTTGTGGTTCTCATTTCTCCTGAGTGTTTCAGAACGGCCAGTGGTCTGCTGGATAGAGACTGGCGTCCATCTCCCAGCCCACTTTAAGCCTCAACAAAGGAATGGAATCGGCTGTGGAGGTCTCTGCCAAATCTGGTTAGAGACACGGCATCTCCTCCTGCTCAGTCTGGTCCAACTTAACCTCAGTCTCTCTCCGGCCCACATGCAGCCTCGCCACTTGGGACCCGGGACTTGGTTCATTCCTCAGAGAATTCCCAGCAACTACTGGCCCGTGATTACATTCTAGTTCCAGCGGCCAATTAAAGTCGCATCTTGGGGACAGCACATTGAGAAATTGGCTGGGCGGGCCAAGGTCACAGAGGAAGGCTGAGGCAGGGTGGTGACTACAGGAATGGGAGGGGTCCTGAGGCCTGGGGCTCACTCCCAAGGCGGGGAGGGGAGGTCTCCCGGGACGCGGGAACCCACTCACCGCCGGGACCACTTGGCCGACGATCTCCCGAACGGTCGCTTCCACAGAACCCCGTAGAGCTGCACTTTGGTGCTGATGTCCAGCGCGTCCGCGTCGGCCTGCTCCAGGGATGGCGACGGCGACACGGAGTTGGACTTAGACGTGAACATCCTGCCTCGGAGGCGCTGCCCCGGCCGGGTCCACCCCTTTCGTGGGACTGGAAGGGACAGGGAGGACGGCGGGAAGCAGTGCGCGCCACGAGCAAAGGCAGCTCGG